AAAATGACACTATTTATGCATATAGAGAGAGAGAGCGAGAGAGAGGGCACTATACATTGGGATATCCTTTCCTTGAGTTTTTATTTTTAAACTATTTTCCAACTTGTGAAGTTAAATGTTTTCTTAATATTTTCTTGGTAAAAATCACAAAGATTTTCAGGAAAAAGCACCTCATTTAGTGAACTGCGACCTAATGGGAATGAGAGGGTTTCTAGAACTGGGTAAGGAGTGTGTCAATTGGAAGGGACTTGTAAAATATGTGGGATCAAATTAGAGATTTTGATTAGATATGAGGTTATTAAATTTGGGGTGGTACTGATTGAATTGAGATTGGTATGGGACATATATAGCCAGCCTTTCACACAGCCTGTTTCATTCAGAGGCTGAATCCTTCAAGGAAACCATTTTCTGGGTCCTGTGTATCATCATTTGGAATTAAGATTTTAGACTGGCAGAAGGCAAGCACTTTTTTGGCCTTTTTTTTCTTTTAAAGCATAAAGATGAAAAGGATGACACTTTATACCAGAAAGCAACTTTTTTTCCCTGGTAAAATTCACATTTACTTATGCATTTAAAATACAAGCATTGCATGCATATCATTTTCAGATTTCTTCATTGGGGCCATGTATTTCTGCTATTAAAGGGATTAAAACCATTTCACTCTTTCACTTTATAATTGATTGTTAACTGGTGTATGGGATCTATAGATTTTGTTTGCTGATCAGTGTCTAGAAACTTGGTTGAACCCTATATTTCTTTTTTTTTTTTAACATCTTTCTTGGAGTATAATTGCTTTAGAATGGTGTGTTAGTTTCTGCTATAACAAAGTGAATCAATTATACATGTGTGCCCATATCTATTCCCTCTTGCAACTGCCTCCCTCCCACCCTCCCTATCCTGCCCCTCTAGGTGGTCACAGAGCACTGAGCTGATCTCCCTGTGCTATGTGGCTGCTGTCCACTAGCTATCTATTTTACATTTGGGAGCGTATATATGTCCATGCCACTCTCTCACTTTGTCCCAGGTTACCCTTCCCCCTCCCATATCCTCAAGTCCATCCTGTAGTAGGTCTGCATCTTTATTCCCATCTTGCCCCTAGGTGGCAATTTTTTGACAATTTTTTTTTTTTTAGATTCCATATATATGTGTTAGCATACAGTATTTGTTTTTGTCTTTCTGACTTACTTCACTCTATATGACAGGCTCTAGGTCCGTCCACCTCACTACAAATAACTCAGTTTCATTCCTTTCTATGGCTGAGTAATATTCCATTGTATATATGTGCCACATCTGCTTCATCCATTCATCCTGTTGATGGACACTTTGGTTGCTTCCATGTCCTGGCTATTGTAAATAGAGATGCAATGAACATTTTGGTACATGTCTCTTTTTGAATTATGGTTTTCTCAGGGTATATGCCCAGTAGTGGGATTGCTGGGTCGTATGGTAGTTCTATTTGTAGTTTTTTAAGGAACATCCATACTGTTCTCCATAGTGGCTGTATCAATTTACATTCTCACCAACAGTGCATGAGGTTTCCCTTTTCTCCACACCCTCTCCAGCATTTATTGTTTGTAGATTTTTTGATGATGGCCATTCTGACCGGTGTGAGATGATATCTCAGTGTAGCTTTGATTGGCATTTCTCTAATGATAAACGATGTTGAGCATTCTTTCATGTGTCTGCTGGCAATCTGTATATCTTCTTCAGAGAAATGTCTGTTTAGGTCTTCTGCCCATTTTTGGAGTGGGTTGTTTGTTTTTATAATGTTGAGCTGCATGAGCTGCTTGTAAATTTTGGTGATTAATCCTTTGTCAGTTGCTACATTTGCAAATATTTTCTCCCATTTTGAGTCAACCCTATATTTGTAATAATTTGTCTATCAATGCAAATTAGTGATTAGATTTTAATTAGAATGTTTCAAGTATATACACATTAAGGATAATGCTTGTTAAGGGTGTGTCTATTTGTGTTCTGTACTTTTTTCCTGCTTTTGTTTACATAGGCACTCTTTCTATAATGGTAGATTTTCATCTGTGTCCCCTGTTTTATTATAATGTGATATGCTTGTACTTTTCTCTCTTTTCTCTTATGCTTATGTTTTTACACTTTTAATGGTCTACAAATTGCATTTTGGTTTCAGTCATCATTTCTATTGGGTGTTATATTTTCTTTTGTAATTGTTTCAGCTTATATCATTGTTTTCTGTTCCCTAATTTATCTTTTGGGTTAAGCCATCCAATTTCTTGAGTTGAGTGCTTAACTCCTTTCTTTTCAAGCTTGTTTAGTGTCCTTACTGTTCAGTTAGATATTCCTCTTTTTCTGTCTTATGATTTGTCCTAATTCTTTATTTTTAAATTTCAGCTTGATTGCTGTATAATTGACTTTTAAAATTGTAAAATGTTCAGTCAGTTTTGTGGTGATTTGATATACATTGTGAAAGGATTCCCCCCCATCTAGTTAATTAACACATTTCCTTCATATATTTACTTTCTTTGGTAAGAACATTTAAATCCTACTCTTCTGGAAAATTTCAACTATACATCACATTGTTATCAACTATAATCATCATGGTTAACATTAGCTCCTGAGACTTTATTCACTGTGCACCCTTTTACCCTCCCTTCCCTGCCCTCCCCCGCAACCACTTTTCTACTCTGGTTCTGTAAGTTTTACTCTTTTTTTTTTTTTTTAAGTTTCCACATATAAGTGATACCATGCCATATTTGTCTCTCTCTGTCTTACTTAACTGGACATAATACCCTCCAAGACCATCCATATTGTTGCAAATGACAGAATTTCATTCTTTTTATGGCTGAGTAGTATTCCATTGTATCTAGGTACCACATCTTCTGTATCCATTCAACCATCGCTGGACATGTTGGTTGTTTCCATATCTTATCCATTGTGAATGTGGGTGGGCAGATAGCTCCTTGATATTCTGTTTTTATTTCCTTTAGCTATATACCCAGAAGTGAGAATGCAGCATCATATGGTGGATCTATTTACAATTTTTGAGGAACCTCCATACTGTTTTCCATAGTATGGACCATAGCTGCACCAGTTTACATGCCTACCAAAAGAGTGTACTTCTTGCCCTTAAATTCAAACTTTGAGATTAAGATTGCTATACAATTTTCTTTTACTTGATGTTAAATCAGTTTGTTTTGTCATCCACTTATTTTCAATATTTTGTACTTTCTTTAGGTTTGGCTTGGAAACTTCCATGAAGAGACTTTCTGCTACAGTGAGGTGAGAAGCCACCCATACACTCAAGCCTGGGAATCTGGAGAGGTCTCAGGCACTTATATCCTCAACAGAGGAAACTCACAGAGCTGCAGGCTGAGGCAGGACTTGGCTCAGAGAGCCGTCTCCTCTGGGAAATACTGGATTTCCTTTGGCTCCACAATGCTGACAAGAGTGGAGTCCTTCTGGTGGATTGACAAGCCTGGAGAAGATACCACCTCGTTTGTTTAAGAGTTCAAGTCTGAGTTCCTGCCTCTCAGCTATATCAAAACTTCTTTAAAAATAAAGGAAGTATAGGGAAGAGGTTACTCCCCAGCATTCTCAGGTATCCAAAGCATACCTAAGAAGCTGGCAGTCCGTTGCTTATTCTATTGCCGCCATACAGTCTAAGCACTTTGGTAGCCAGAACCCAAGTTGTAAGATTACGATCGTCCACCCAACCATGGAAGAATTTGAAGATTTCCGCAAATATATTGTTTTCATGGAGTCGCAAGGTGCACACCGAGCTGGCCTAGCCAAGGTAATTCCACCTAAAGGATGGAAAGCCAGACAGACGTACAGTGATATCGATGACATCTTAATAGTCGCTCCCCTCCAGCAGGTGACCACTGGGCAGGCAGGTGTGTTTACTCAGCACTGCAAAAAGAAGAAAGCCATGACCGTGAGCGAGTATCACCTCTTAACAAACAGTGAAAGACACCAGACTCCATTCTACTCTGATTTTGAGGATCTGGAGCGAAAATATTGGAAACCACGCCCCTATGATTCACCAGTATATGGTGTGGACGTCAGTGGCTCCTTATTCGATAAAAACCCGAAGCACTGGAAACTTGGACACCTGGGAACCATTCAGGACCAGCTGGAACAGGAGTGCGGAGTGGTCATCGAAGGCGTCAACACCCCCTACCTTTACTTCGGCATGTGGAAGACCGCATTCGCCTGGCACACAGAGGACATGGACCTTTACAGCATCAGCTACCTGCACGTCGGGGAGCCCAAGACTTGGTACGCGGTGCCCCCGGAGCACGGCCGGCGCCTGGAATGCCTGGCCAGGGAGGTTTTCCCAGGCAGCTCGCAGGGCTGTGAGGCCTTCCTGCGGCACAAGGTGGCTCTCTTCTCTCCCAAGGTCCTCAAGGACAACGGCATCCCCTTCGGTCGGGTCACTCAGGAGGCTGGAGAGTTCATGGTGACATTTCCCTATGGTTACCACTCTGGCTTCAACTGCGTGGAAGCCATCAATTTTGCCACCCAGCGCTGGATCGATTATGGCAAAGTGGCCTGGGAATAGGGCTCTGACCTTTGGAAAGATCTTCATCAGAATAAGGGAGATTTCAGGTGAGCACCCTTAGGATATTAAAAATGTGTGGTTGGGTGGGGATTCTAAAAGGGACCTATAATTACCCACTGCGAAGGGAGTTGGATGTTAGAATAGTAACATTAAGACTAGAGCTTTGAAAAGTACTGAAATTGTGTGTGTGTGTGTGTGTGTGTGTGTGTCTTCTATTTTCCTGAAGCAATATGGAATGGAGACTTTGTTTTCTTGGAGCAGCAAGGAAATGGAAGGTGGGGAGGCTTTATCTTCCTTTCTAGCCAGGCTTGGAGATGGAACAATAAGATGAGTGTGGCCATGAAGAGGTGAGGAAGATGGGCCGTGTCCCTGGCATGCACTGTAGAGAAGAAAGGAGACTTGGGGAGGTCTGCATTGTAACCAGACTGTGAGGCCACCTTCCCTGGCCCCTCTCCAGAGCTGCAGAAGCTTTCCTTCCCCATATGGCAGAGAGGGTGACACCCAGGGGAAGCTGACTCTGTCCATTATGAAGTTTTGTCCTTGGTATGGGAAATGCCAGAAAGGCTATTACTCTGGATAGTAGTAAGAATTCTCTATTCAGTTCTCCTTCCCTATCACCTCCCCTGCAGCCTCTTATTTTTCTTTTAATGGTGAAGTAAATAAATGTGATGCTATTGATGTGGTTTTGTGCTATCCCTCCAGCCACAAACTCACTCCATCCATGGACCCCCTCTGTACGCGTATGTGCAAAGTTGAATCTGAAGCGTGATGTGTTTCGTAAAGCAAACTTTTCGGTAGTCACTGCTTTGAGCTTTCCAGCAGTTACTTAGAGGGGAGAACTGGACTTAGAGTCAGCAGAAATGGCATTCAAACCTGCGCTTTGCTACTGTCTAGTCGTGGGACCTTCAGCCAAAAAATCATTGATTTTCTCTGAGCCAGAATTACAGTGCGAGAATTTTGTGAAGATACTGGGGATGTAAATGTGACAGGCATGTAAGAGGTGCTCAGTTAATTTGATGTGCATTCATACACTCTCCTGGCCTCTAGGGCCAGCCCAATGCCTAGGACATCTACTCGTATTCTTTCTCTGATGCTCAGTTCTATTGTTGTTTTCCTCACCACACCCCCAGGCTTACACGTTACTTTACTTTTAAAATAGACTTTATTTTTGCAGAGTACTTCGCAACAAAATTAAGTGGAAGATACAGAGGATTCCAACATACTCCTTCCCAGCCTCCTCCACCAGCATCCACACCAGAAAGGAACATTTGTTACAGTCAAAGAACCTGCACTGACACCTCATTATCACCCAGAGTCCTTAGTTTAATTTATTCACTCTTGGCGTTGTACAGTCTATGGGTTTGACCAATGTATAATGACATGTATCTACACTTATAATACCATACAGAATAGATTCATTGCCTAAAATCCTCTGTGCTCTGCCTAATCATCCCCCCTCCCCTGACAACCACTGATCATTTTACTGCTTCCATAGTTTTGTCTTTTCCAGATGACTTCTTTCACGTAGTAATATGCCTTTAAGTTTCCTCCATGTTTAGTGGTTTTATAGCTCATTTCCTTGTATTGGTGAATAATATTCCATTGAATGATGTATGACCCTTTATTTATCCACTCACATGCTGAAGGACATCTTGGTTGCTTCCAATTTTTTCTGCAGTTATGAATCCAGTTACTATAAACATTTGTGTGCAGGTTTTGGTGTGGATGTAAGCTTTCAGTTCATCTGAGTAAATACCAAAGAGTGTGACTGCTGGATTGTATGGTGAGACTATATTTAGTTTTGGAAGAAACTGCCAATTTTTTTTTTTTCGGTACATGGGCCTCTCACGGCTTTGGCCTCTCCCGTTGCGGAGCACAGGCTCCGGACGAGCAGGCTCAGCGGCCATGGCTCACGGGCCCAGCCGCTCCGCGGCATGTGGGTTCTTCCCGGACCAGGGCACGAACCTGTGTCCCCTGCATCGGCAGGCGGACTGTCAACCACTGCACCACCAGGGAAGCCCTGCCAATTATTTTTACCGGTAGAAAACGGATCTTTTTTTTTTTCTCATGATCTACTGCATGTTTGCACAAAAGTTCACACATACCCATTTGGAAATTCCACTCCTTGTCGTATTTGTCCTTGTTGCAGTGTTACAAAGGCTAGGTAAAGATTTCACAATCAGTCAAGAGCCAGAGGACCCAGCCTTTATTCAGACTCCTACACCAGCTTGTTTAGTAGTCTTTCAACAAATCAGGTTTCGATGGCTCTCCACTTGCCAGTTTAGGCAAAATGAGCTCTTAGCCACATTGCACCTCTGTTAGAGTTTGCACATAACAAGTTCAGATCAGGGCAAACATAATTTGTGCTAAATCATATTACCTATTATCATTATTACTTAGGAGCCCAGAGTTGTAAGATGGACATTAGAACCTGTACTTAAACGTATCTCGTAGAGGTTGGAGTTCGGGTCTTCGGACTCCTGTAAGATTTATGTAAAGCGTCAGTTATGGATCTGTCTGACTACCTGGCCACAATGAATTATTCGTAGACATTAACAATTATACCAATTCAGTTTCCGTGTTGGTAAGGATTCCTTTCCAGATATTTGGAAATAACTTCACCATGATATTTATGTCGTTAGATTGTGACCATATATGGATCTTGAAGTTACTTTTCCCCCCAATGTTTGTGTTAACTTTCATGACTTTAACTAGGAAAGCACAAACAGTTGGTAGGAATTGGCTACCGAGATAAGAGGAATGGACACTGATCTGAGTTGAACAGATCCTGGTGAGGAGCAGCCCTTGCCCATCCCGCTCTGCTCACCAGCCGCTCAAACTGAAATGCCTCCCAAGCTCCTTGTCATTGACCTGCAGTGATTACAGGGTAATAGTGAGACCCTTCTCACGGTTCCTCAGCAAGTGGTGGGTTTTAGGGGGATAAGCAATTTCAGAGAGGACAGAGGAAGGGCAGAACTGAGCCCTGTTGGGCATGGGTAACATGTTGGAGATGCCACTCAATGAAAATGCAACATTTGTGTGACCGGGTTTCTGGATTTTTCTAGGATCCCGGCATCCAGTATCCTCGTGCCCTAAGTGTTCAGGCCCCTCTACCTAAAAAATAGCTATGTCCAGTCCTATAGACCTCAGAGAGCATCTTTTCTTTGTCCCATCTCTCAGAGAGCCTCTTCTCAAAAGCTTCACATGGTGTCTGTATATTTCAGTGCCTGTTCACTCACTCTCTTATTAATTCATTCATTCATTCAGCACATGTTTGCTAAGCACTTACCATGTACCAGGCACTGTTTGTGGAATTCGGGACACAACAGTGAAAAAGGCAAAGTTTCAGTTCTCCTGGAGCTTATATTCTCATTATAAAGAGAGACATAACAAGTCAAGCAGTCACAAGGGCTAGGAGAAAAAACAAAGCAGAGTAAGGGGTTAGAGAGTGACAGGACTGCTGTGTCGGAGAGGGTGGCCTCTTGGGAGTGTGGTCTTCGAATGCGCGCTGTGGACAAGGGAGTGAGAGCATCATTCTAGGCAGAGGGACAACACATGCAAATACCTGCGGTGGGGGCACCCTTAAGGTGCTCATAGATTAGCAAAGTGGCTGGAGAGCAGGAGAGAGGCGGCGGGAGCTGAGGTGGGGGGAAGGAATAAAATGTCATAACTCAGTGAATGCAAACTCCTCCCACTGAGTGATTGAGGCTATTGGTGTTTTAGGTGACCTGGGGATGGAGAAATTTGGGGGCCACAGAGTCTTTGAAAGCACAGATAATTCACAGCCATCCCTGGAAATGGCTCTATCGTTCCTACCAGAAGCAAATCCCGAGAGCAGAATGTCTGTATGTTCTCGTTTCCTGCTGTACCAGCTGACATGTCACGTTTCTGACTTGTATTGCATTAGGTGGGACTTTAACAGAGCCAGCAGATCACTGACATTCACTAAGTTGACAACAGCCATTCCAGCTATGTATGAGCAACAGCAAATCACTGCAGTCAATATTTTGGAATTGTGCTGAGGCCCATATTCACATAGTGTGGAGGGCAGGGAAGGAATCTCCTCAGGAGACTTAAGGAGAAATCCTCTGGAAAAACAGCAACCAGGGGAGGGATCAGGTGTGAGAGTTGAACGGCCTATAGATTTAGAATTTGAGGCTATGCATGGGAAATCCTGGCGCCAGAGACGGATAATTTTTAGGAAAGAGCTAGGATTAAGAATTTGCAAAGAAAGAGGTTAGGATCCATTCCCTGGGAATGTCAAGGGTCTATTGCATAAGTTTCTTTTTCCTTAGAAACTCCTTAGTAACCAGGTGACCTAACCTCAGCTCTCTTGTGGTATATCACCTTGACTGTACTTACACACGACCCTCTAGGACCCTGAGTACTTTATTAACCTATGGTTTAGCTCATGCATTGAACCAGATTAAAACAGTAGATAATTATCTTTCTTGGCTTTCTCTGTTTAGTGAGGACTCAATGAATATTTTCGATTGAGTGAATGACTTGAAACCACCAACAGAAATGAAAAAAAGAGCTAGTATCATAAGAAACACCTAAAATAAATAAATAATTCCTATTACAGCATAATTGCTTTCATGTTAATTGTCTTTTAAAATAAGATATCCGGTTCTCAGCTGGGGTTTGAAATAACTTACAGAGCCAGAGAATAATCTCTGTTTGTCTTATTCCAATATGAGACCTTCATTCATTGACTCCACAAATATTAAGCACCCTCACCATGCCAGGCTAGTCCTACATGCTAAGGAAACATAGTATGACGTTTATGATCTGCTTGGAGACAGACAGGCAGTTAGGCAGTTTCACCACACCACAGCTTCTTCCCAGCTACCATAACCGTAGCCAGGCTCTCCCCCAAACTGCTGGTTTTAGAGCCTCTGAAAAAAGGTGTCTTTTACTGGGAACAGTCAGCCTCAAGTTCAGGGCCAAAGCCTCTTGGGGCTCTCAGAGCTGTTTCAGTCTGTTCTCGGGCTCATGGCAGCTCTCTTGTTCACTTTTCTCAATCGTACCTGACAAATGGGCACAGGTCACCTTTTTGGGAGAATGATGGCTACTCTGGGCATTCCTTTCTTACCAGGTGTGCAGGGGGATGGGACTGGCTTTGAATGCTCCCACTGGCTGCTTCACTCTAGGAAGTGAGTGTGGCTTACTGTCAAATCCCTCCCTTCCTCCACTCATGACATTGACATTCGTTGGCTCCTTTAGGGAGCCTGGTCATTTCAATGCCATTTCCTGTGTTCCATTCCGTTTTCCCACCATCTCCCCCCTTGCTATGGACCGAATGTGTCCTCCTTAAATTCATATGTTGACACCTTAATCTCCAGTTAGGGATTTGCCGGTGGGGCCATTGGGAAGTAATTAGATCATGAGGGTGGAGCCCTCATGAATGAGATTAATGCCCTTCTAAAAAGAGACGATTATCCTCTTCAGCATGTGAGGATGCAGCAAGAAGGTGGCTGTCTGTAAACCAGGAAGAGAACCCCCACCAAGAACCTGACCGTGCTGGCACCCTAGTCTTGGACTTCCTGCCTCCAGAACTGTGAAAAGAAAATGGTGCTCAATCCCCCCACTGTATGGTGTCTTGTGATAGCAGCTCAAATGGATAAAGACACCCCCGTAACTGCTTGTCTACAGTTCACACTGGCTACTCTAGGAGAAAGGTAAAAAGAAGTAGGCTAGAGACAGGAAACGTGGTTACCATATTATGAGGGTCTACAATGTGTCAAGAACCCTGACTCCCAATTTGTATACATCGTGCATTTTCTTTCCAGAAGCTCAGTCTGTAGAGTCGGGAGATGGAGATTGGAAGCCCAGCTCTGCCTTTTGCTAGGGTGACTGGCTAGTGACTCAGCACTCCGAGGCCCCTGCTCCTGGGAGAGCCGGCGGGGCCCAGCACACACCCTGTGTCCAAACACAAGGGCTGCGCTCATAAAACCGTGTGGCCTCGGCGGGCTGCTTCTGGACATGATAATAACAGAACTCACAACAATAGGATGGTTGTGAAGCTCAACTGACTTAATATAAGTAAGAGACTTAGAGTAGTAACTAGCTTGAGGGAAAACAAGCTATTATTTCACATCTAGTTGAAGATTTGTTTTTAAAAAGTGTGATTTCAGCACAGTGTTCGACGAGAAGCACACAGCAAAGTCCTGCCATTATTGAAGTTATTATTATTACTTATTTTATATTACTTTAATAATATTATTCATTACTATTATTAGTTTCAGACTTAGAGGTGACAGACGTGGGGTTGTCCCTGCTAAAGTACTTGAAAGGAGAATGACAAAGGAAAAGACTATAGCTTCTTCTTCCTTTTTATTCACATTTTATTTTATATTGGAGTATAGGTGATCAACAATGTTGTGTTAGTTCCAGGTGCACAGCAAAGTGATTCAGTTATGCATATACATGTATCTATTCGTTTTCAAATTCTTTTCCCATTTAGGTTGCTAGATAATATTGAACAGACTTCCCTGTGGTATGCAGTAGGTCCTTGTTGGTTATCCATTTTAAATATAGCAATGTGTACATGTTAATCCCAAACTCCCTAACTATCCCTTCCCACATTCCCCCCAGTAACTGTAAGTTTGTTCTCTAAGTCTGTTTCTGTTTTGTAAATATGTTCATATGTATCATTTTTTTTTAGATTCCACATATAAGCGATATCATACAATACTTGTCTTTGTCTGACTTACTTCAGTAACTATGACAATCTCTAGGTCCATCCATGTTGCTGCAAATGACATTATTTCATTCTTTTTAATGGCTGAGTAATATTCCATTGTATATATGTCCCACATCTTCTTTATCCATTCCCCTGTCGTTGGACATTTAGGTTGCTTCCATGTCTTGGCTATTGTAAACAGTGTTGCAGTGAATATTAGGGTGCATGTATCCTTTCAGACCATGTTTTTCTCCAGATATATGCCCAGTACTGTGATTGTGGGATCATATGGTTGCTCTATTTATAGTTTTTTCCTTTTTTTTTTTCTTGCGGTACACGGGCCGCTCACTGTTGTGGCCTCTTCTGTTGTGGAGCACAGGCTCCGGACGCGCAGGCTCAGTGGCCATGGCTCACGGGGCCATCCGCTCTGTGGCATGTGGTATCCTCCCGTTCCGGGGCACGAACCTGTGTCCCCTGATTTGAAAGGTGGACTCTCAACCACTGCGCCACCAGGGAAGCCCCCTATTTATAGTTTTTTAAGGAACGTCCATACTGTTGTCCACAGTGGCTATACAATTTATTTTCCCACCAACGGTGTAGGAGAGTTCCCTTTTCTCCACACCCTCTCTAGCATTTATTAAGTGTGGATTTTTTGATGATAGCCTTTCTGACTGGTGTGATGTGATATCTCACTGTAGTTTTGATTTGCATTTCTCTAATAATTAGCGATGTTGAACATCTTTTCCTGTGCGTCTTGCAAAAGGCTGTAGCTTCTTATCAATCAAAGCGTGACCAGGATTCACAGCATGGACATCGCCTTTGACTTCGGTGAAGTTCAGGAGCTCAGACTTTGGCCGCAGACCTACGACTCAGAGTCTGCATGTTAAACTAGATCCCAGGTGAGTCAGGGGCATGTTCAAGGTGGAGAGGCACTGCTCCAGTGTGCTGGACCTCAACTTACTGGAATCACATTTGAAACACACTGATGTCTAGATCCTCCCCCCATCCTCTCACCACCCCAAAATTCCAGCTCCATTGGCTGCAGTACAAATGTTAAAACTGCTGTGCAGTCATGCTTGACACCCACGCATCTATCTTTTGGTCCATGGGCAGTTAGGCTGCAGGGGTGGATGGGAGTTTAGTTTCTTCAGCAAGTGCCAGTGAGAGGGTTTGTTTTTTTTTTCTCGAAATGCCCAGTGGAAGGATGGAGGGACACGGGGAGAACACATTCTTCTCTCCCGCCCCTGCCATTCCCCGTCTTCATTCCAACTATGGACACGTGACAAAGCTCTGTGCAGGCTTCTTGGCCAATATTTCTGTTTCTCTGGTTGCTGTTCACAGTGTCCAGGCTCTGCTGGTGACAGTCTATCTGTCAGTCCCGTGTACCTGGGGCTTGGCTTTTTGGTGGTGGGAGTTTGTATTTCCTTGAAATGGGGTTCATCTCCTTCCTTCATCCACTCCTGCCCACTGCTCAGAACACCCAGAGACTGCTGACCTTTCCTGTGAGACCCTTGACCCCTGGTAGAAAATTCCCATTGCCACCCGGCTCAGGCCGGTTATCTAAGTGACTGTTGCTGTGAGGAGGGCGGCTCATGCCCCATCGTAAAGCCAAGGACTCTCCTGGGGGCCAGTCTACTATTGTTTTGTGGGAATGAGGGTCGTGGGATTGTCATTTTCTGAATTTTCCAGAGAAGCTAACAACTTGGGATTTTATGAAAAAAATCATGTAAATGTTGACAGCTAGTTTAAAAAAAACTTCCAAGTCCTGGTAGCCAAACAAAACATTTCCGGAGCTCAGACTTGCCCCCTGTCCTAAACAGCCCATTTGGATTGCAAAGACTGCACAAACCATAGAAGCTAATCCAAATGATCTCGCTGGACCTTTGGAGCTGCTAGAAAAGGGGAGACACCCAGAATCCCCTAAGCCACGTGGCCAAGGGTTTTTAATCCAGTGACTTGTTAGTTTGGTAGCCCCTCTGCTGAAGGCACGTCTTCCTTAGGCCTAAGCATGGCTGTTTCTCACACTCACATCTAAGGCCTCTGTATGTCTTTCTAGGGGGACAGGGGACCTCTCTGCCTGACCTGAGGCCAGATATGGTAGGAGTTGTGCAGGGCAGTTGGATTTCCCTAGGACAGCAGTACGGAACAAAAGAAAGGGCGGGTTACACTCTCCAATCTTCTCCCTCCCCTCTCTTCTGCCCTCCCTGAATGACAGACAGCCCCAGCATTTGACAGAGCCCCTTGTTTAACGCTGCCACGTCTCTGCTAGTGACCGAATGTTTCTCCCTCAGTATTGTCTTTATACAAGATGATGTGACCTGTGTTTGTTGCTAATATTAGAT